ACCCGATAACCTGCAACGTTTCTCATGTCTTTCAAAATTGTTAAAATTGTGTTGCTGCCTTCAGCCAAACCACAACAACATGAATTCCAACAACTGTACTGGGTGACGTAAGAATCAGGACTGAAACAATTAATCGCGATTAATCGATTCTTGACATAATAATCAACTAGTTTAGTAGTCAAATAAGGTTTAACTGGAGTATATAGACTCAAAAAAGTCCATTTGTACAACTAAAACTACAAAAATATTTCCATTTACATTTAAGATAAAAAAAAATCCTTTATCTGTAAATATGTTTTACCCAAATCTCAAATGACAGTTTTAGCTTTTTATACTATAATAAAACAAATCTCCTACTAAACCTTTTGCTAAATGCAACAATTAATCAATTAATGTACAAAACCTTCACTGAGAGAATGCTGTTGATTCATTTTTGACAATAAAACTTTTGTTTTCTTGAAGAAAAATTGTAATTTAATGGTTAAATAAAAAAAATTTGCAGAATGTGGCTTTTTTTTAAATCTGATTGTTCGAATAGTTAACTAAGATAGTTGCATGCTAATAAGAACTGCTCGTCTGAGTGCTTTGTACATTTTTTGTTGACTCATCATTTCTATCATGTTTGATGCTAAAAATGCAAACTCCATAAAACAGAATACTTCAGCTGTCAGAGCTGCACCGATGGCAAGTCTGTTCCCCTTTATTCATTCATGACTCAGAAAAGTAGTTATGCGTCTGCTTTGTTTTTTTTCCCCATAATTTGTACGTTTTATAAATGTTGAAATTTAGATTCTTAAATATTGCATTTGTGTATTTGTCCAGCAGTGCTTCTTATATCGATTGAACTGGGATATTAAAGCAGTAGATGTAAATTTCTCTTTATACTCGTTGCTTTTCTGGTAAAGACGAGTAAAAACCTTTGAAATCTTTTATTGCAGCAGCAACTTAATCTATGAGAAACACTGTCTTTTATAGCATGAGAACCTCCAGATGTAATTTAAAGAAATCTCTGCAGATTAATATAAATCCTGAAAAGTCACTGTTTTCTTTTAGCAAATGTCAACTGCATCATTTTGCCTCTTGTTGATGCACTAATATAAAATATCCTGCAAATGGCCGCTCTTTAGCTGCTGAAATGAAAATGTAATCAGTGTATCTGTTGTGGCTGCAGAGTTTGAGGCTGCAGCCGTGATAACGCTGTGGGGAGTTTGTTAGGAAACGCAGTGCTTTGTCTGTGATGATGTGCAGGAGTGTCTTCTGTTGCTCAGTTCCAAGAATGTTGCAGAAAGAGTTGCTCGACAAAAGAAAAATACCAAACCCCTGGTCATGTATTCCTTCAGATTCAAGGGGGGATTTTTTTATGTGTTACTTTTGCAAATATTCCAACTGGTTTTTCTCTGCAAATGCATGAAGTTTGTGCAGCGAAATGTCTTGTAGAATGTGTTCTATTGAGCTTTGTTTTGCAGAAAATAGTCTGTGGCTGTTGACGTCCACAGACTGAAACTGTTCACTTCATCTGAAGTGAACAGTTGTTTGTTCTTGTAAGACCTGAATGCAGCTTGTTTTACTGGTGGCAGTTGAGGTAAGAAAGGGGCTCTTTCTGGATGGGAAGCTTGCTGTGAGAGAGACGTGGGACTGCTCCCTTCTTTGACATGATCAGACAAGATTGTGTCTGTGCTGAAGTTTGCTCTGTCACACACATGAATTAGGACACCCAACCCAACACGCCTGGCATTTCAAAGAGGAGCCCGTTTGTTTGAAACAAGCGCCCCATTTAGACCATCTTGATCCATGCATTGAATTGTGGGCCAGATTTCAACCCGGTTTGCTGGACGCGTTCCTCCTCCTGCCTCACGCATGTCGCAGAACGCGAGTCTGGATCCACGGGGGGATTCAGAGGTTTCACTGGAGGTCAACGTCTCAACGATTCGTCCCTTTGCCTTGGTAACCTATTGGTGTGGTCAGCCACAGCCGATCCTGCTTTTTTTATCAGAGTCTCAACAAAGTGGAGAAAAATTAACCGTAAAGAGCAACTAAACCCCAAATCATCTTCTGTTTTGCAGATAAAATGGGAATTAAATGTGCTTTTTTAATGTTTCTGTAAAAATTGTGATATTTTTGTTTAGTTTAGTCATGTTAGTGCTGCCCTCTTTGAGTTGAATGTTTGCTGCTACATGAATTTGAGTCTTGGTAACAATTATTTTAGTAATCAATTATTCTGTTGGTTATCCTGACGATTAATTGAGTAGTTTAATACAAACATTGGCACATTGTACTGATTTGTCATTGTTCTTATACAATATTAGAAATGTTTGGGGAAAAAAAAACAATTCACTTATTTTTTTAAATTGGAAAATAAACATTTTATTGTCTGAATGCAATAACACAGCATTCCTTTGGTGAATTTGGAGTTGAAGTTTTGGGTAAAACATATTTAAAGGTGTTTTTATCTTAAATGTTAAATATACATGTGTTTTTGTACAATTTTGGATGAATTACTGCTCTGAAAATGTTTTTTCAGCAAATGGTGGGTCTGCATACCCTAGTTAACTATTGATTCGTAAATTTGTTCAATAATCGATTCATCACGATTAATCCGATGAATTGTTTATTCACGGACCCGGTCTACGGAGTCCGGGTCCTTTTGAAGGATGCAGACTCTGAATTCGGGCACAGCTGTTATTTGGGGGCGGAGTCATGCTTTCACAGGAAAGCTGGTTACACTTTAAACATGATGCAGACATGATGTCCAGGTATCAGCTGGGATTTACAAGCGTATGATGATTTACAGGTTGTGACTTTTTTACCTTGTAGCTACTTATTTACAGTAGGTTAGTGCTTGTACCTTCCTTCTCTTAGTGCATTTCGTTCTCTTTTTTTATTGGCTGCAAATCCATTACAAGTGTTTAAAGGTACTTCTTTTACCACCTGTATCATTTTTTTACTGCCACCAATAGAAACTGAAACTCCACCATAATAAAACCTGAGTTTCCCGGTTGCTTTGCAATAAGTGATCATGTACATTTGAAGCTGAATAAAAGACGAGTTGCCGTTACGTTTGGTGCACAGTTTGGGTAAATATCACTATAGCTGCTGTCCAAGCAGAAATGCCCCCAGCTTCCAACTCTTGATTTACATTTAAAGTGGCCATAGCTTCCAAGTCAACACGCTCTGCTTGTTTCCATTCACAAACCAACCGCAGAAGCTTTTCCTGCTGTGAAACAACCAGAAAACCCTGGAGGCGCTCACTAGGATCCTGCCGGTACTTCAGTTTTAACATCCAGACCCTCGTGCGGATAATTTCCCAGATCTTTGATCACCTCTGAGCTAAAGCACAATCAGTTTTATTTTTATCAGAATCATCTGCTGCGGACTCTGCCTTGTTTGTGTTTTCGGCTTGTTTTCCACCATTTGACACGCAGTCAAAGCTCAGCGACCAGCGAGGCTTTGGGAAAGCTGGCATGGAGAAAGAGACTCCATAAATACCCGTATCTTCAAAATCCAGACTAGACGGATTAAAAAGAAAACCACTTTGACTCCTGCCAGAGATTAGGACCGTTTGTGGCCCTGGTACAGCTGGCTCCCTATGAGCAGTCGAAGAGTTATTCTCATTCTGCATGTTTTGATTTGATCCACTGTATTTTTGGGAGAAAATGCTTCATAAATCAAGATTGTATCTCATTCCAAACATGCACTATTTTTGCCATTTCAGCCCAATATACAGGCAGCATGCTCCTACAATATGCAGCTATTATAGGAGCGTATTTGTAAAGCAAATGAATGCAGCTAAATTTAAAACTAACACGTGAAGTCACTTGCATGCCTTGCATGTGGGAAACGGCCTCAGCAACTCACTGACTGAGGCGCGTTTTGTGTTTTCCACTGGAGGAAGAAGATGAGTGACATTGTGATTGTGCTTTGGGTGCAGAAAAGTTTCCTGCTTTCCATGTAAATCCATGTGTTTCACTGGAGCAGACAGTGTCCCGGCCCTGCAGTTTATCCTCTTACGTCACCGGAGTTACACTTGCAGAGGGTAAACGAGTGCAGATCGCACCGTAAGCATCCGCACTGCTGCTGTCAGAGTGCAAATCTAAACTAGACGTCTGGACTTGGTTAGAACATGTTCAACATCTCATAACAGTGTCCAGAATTTGCCTTTAATATTTGCAACCAGATGGGAATTCTCAATTAAATCTTCACAGGTGAGTCACATGAGACTTTAATAAGTCGGATTCATACCAGGGTTCCTTCTAATACTAGGGAAATTATCATATTTTTCTGTAACGAACACCCTCTAGCTCCTTTCCAGAACAAGAGGGAAGCGACTGATTAGCTGTCTCCACCTCCCAGAGCTTCTTCCTCTCTTCTGCCCACATTCATCTCTTCATCCCAGTTTCCTTTCCTCCCCCACCATGTCCTGGAGGAAACCTTCCTCTCTTTTATGTTTACAGCTTTGAAGGCCTAAGTTTGTCATCTTTTTTTATAGTAGCTTGCATATCTGCTGCCTTACGAGGGCCTCCTCATGGTTTCCATTTAAAAATGATTGAGAAAGGAGAAACGGATCAGAGTTGTCACAAGAATGAATAGGCTGCAGGACAAGCAGCGTCATAAGTAGTCCTGTTTCCACTTCCAGACGTTTCTCCATCCTCACTTTAACAAACGTCTGCCTCCCAGCTGCGTCTGTCATGCATCAGAGATGTTTTTGTTCCTGTCAGGAACAAGAACGAGTATTTTCTACTTAAAAGTCTGTTAAGTTCCCAAAGATGTCAACAGGTATGTCCACATCCCACAGTGAGGGCATACTTTCCTCAGTTATCTAAATAATAAAAGCTTGAGGTCATACTGCTGGGACTTGGTGTATCTGGACACTTTGAGGCTTAGTTTAGGAGGCAAACTGATTTTAAACTGAATCCAACATGTTTCAACCATTATTTTTCCTGCTGTACGATATTTGGGCCCGAGCAGCTAAGCGCTGCGAAGGCCTATTATTGTGCTGTAAATTATTATTCTTATTCTTCCGTAAAATAAATTGGCTTTTTGGGGGCTTTATCATATTCAAAAACTCACCAAACTTGGCGGGGGCATAGAGCCCGGTGAAAATTTACGTATTTTAAGGTCCCCAGAAAAATCGCACAAGAAACGGCTCAAGGGCGCCACCTAGCAACTTTCAAAAGACCCTTTCCTATTCACTTACTTTATCGTAGAGACTTGTTTTTTTTTGTATCCTGATCAGGTTGTTGTTGAAAATGAGAATTTGTTCTCAACTTATAAAGAATTTGGAGGTACTCCAAATTACAGTTCAACGTCTTGAGATCTCTTTACATGGAGAAATGTTCCCTGATTTCAAAACTTTGGCTGAAGTGGTGCTTCTAATTCTAGTGTTCGGTGCGACAGCAGATCGCTGATTCAGCTTCCAGATAAACATCAAAACCCTGAGACATTTGATTATGCATGATGGGATGTAGAAATGGCCATTTATTGTATCGTTTATCATTAATGGTGATCAATTACTTATCGTGACAATTTTGATTTATTGTCTTCACAATAAAATCTAAATAATTGTCAGTTTTGTTGGGATTATTTTTTACTTTTTCTCCACTGTTTGTTCAATAGGAGTTTCAATAAATATGTATTTAAATTATATAAAATGTAAATAAGTAAATGCAGTTACTGTGTTTTTCAGTGAAACAAGTTGGACTTTTTTATTTGCCTCTTGTCCAAGAGAAGTACATTACAAATGGTTTTCAAGAGCATTCTCTGAGTTTGTGGTTGGTGCGCCATGCAGTCGCAGCCATACAGTTACCTACATAATAAATGGTTCTTATCCTCATCTTTAACATTATTACAATGGTACCACAAAACACCAGGATAAAACTTTAAGTCTGTGATTAAATGGGTTTGCAGTTCAGGCCCATGTAGACCTGAATGCTACACAGATTAATTTAGCTTTGATAACTAAGATTTGACCACATTAAATGTTTCCTACAGAGCAGATGAGCCTGAAACTGATTCAGTTTAACTGAGTTATAATCCGGTTGTTCAGCTGCATGTAGTAAATTGTGGCTTTCTAAACATATGTTGAACTTGTTTGCCTTGAACCACTGTGCGCCCTCAGGGTGATGTAGCATGCAACCGTATCAGGTCGCCACAACAGCTGTAGGAAAGGCAGATGGCAGATATAGCCTATCTTTATAAACCTTTATAAACAGGGTACAGTAATAAGACTGTGTTGGTTTTTCATTCTGGTTCCATCTCTTTTTCCCCCTTCTATCTTTGCTGAGGTCGTTGTTTTTATCATTTATGCTTCTTAACCTGTTCCAGTAAAACTGGGGCTCTTGCCTTTGATGAATTCACGGTGACATAATGAATCATAAGGAATGGGAAATTTATTCATTTCAGTCAATAAGTGACCTGTTACGACTTGTGTAAAGTGCTGGAGTTGAACAAATCTTCCTGCAATACATGATGTATTTGAACTTTTTTGGTTTAAGATTCACGTCTGAAACAGCAAATGGTCACATGATGCCACCAGGCTGCAGAGTTTCTGACTCGGCAGAAATAATCCCATGCGCTGTGTCTCATGTTTGCCTTTTTACCAACTGTTCCTGCTACTTTCACCCCTCATACGTCTCCAAATCCCATCGATGACGTCGGACTTCGTAACTGGATCAGGCGCGGCTCGTACTTGGGTTGTTTTTCGCCAGATGACAGTTGGGACCGATTGTTTGCTGGATTGTTCGCCGGGGCCAAGTCGCTGGTCTTAATTCGAACCACCTCTCAGAAGCCTTTTATTAGCACAGGGATGAGAAGAATAATGGCCAAAGGTGTGTGCAGATTTGACATAAAACGTGTCTGAACCTGAAGGATTGAACCGTGTTTTAAGAAGGAATTACGTCTCTTATTGTATCATGAAATGTGATGGACAACAGATCCTGAAGGCTTAGGCCATTTTACCTCAAAACTTTGAACTATTGTTGGTGGGATTTATCCAGTCTGTCATATTCAATGCTCTCTTTCTTTTTGTACTGTCCTGGCTGGTAAAGTTTAATCCAATGTGATTTACAAAACATTTTGAAAACAAGTAAGGCAAGAGTATTTGCAATAAAAGAATAAATTTGCAAGAAAATTACATTTTGATCATTTTGAAATGTTAAAACGCTAATTTCAAACAAATGGACTGATGAAGTAATCTTCAGTCTCTATGGGAAAACTACAATAATGTGATGATTCAAAAGGAGCCAATTGTTTCTGCATATCTCAGCTTCTGGCTTCTCTGCTGAGCAGTAAAGATTAAATCTGGCCTGAGAAAAAAGCCTTGAGGAACTCCACATATGACCTTCGTTTGTTTAAATTTGTATTTGCCAAGTGACACAGAGGGGTCTCGTCTGCCAAAGGATTAATCCAAGATGCATTTAGCGGCAACCCGAGGTAGCGTCTTGGTAAACAACTGAATCCAAACTCCCTGTGTAACAAACGGTATTTAACTGATATAAGACGGTAAATGATGTGAAATCTCACAGAGGTTATCCTTAATAAATCCTTATTTTTATTGCCACAAAACAAAATGTTGTTCGTTTCTTTTAGCCTCCACTGGATTGCACCAAAACCAAACCTCACATTAACTGCTGTGTTTCCCACCTTTTGTTTGACATCATCTCTAGTTGACTAAAAAACATAAAGTAGGTAGTTGTTAACTTTGCCTGTTGGCTGATAAATGTTGCTATTTAGTTTTAGTCTTATAATAACAGCAACAGATCAAATTTGGTTGAATCCGATTATTTGGATATCGCTCCAAAATCTCTGCATAAGGTATTTCATCTTGAAAAGCTCAAATTATTTCTACTATCAGCTTTTTAACCTTTTTGCATCTCTGTAGCTTCAGACTCGGTCCTCTCCTCCATCTACCCACAAACAGCCCTCAGGATCTCAAACATTGTTTTTTTTTTTTCCGCTCACTTTGCCCACTTCAGTCCCTGATTGGCTGAAACGAGAGCTTCATGGCGCGTGTGGTGGTGATGTCAGCTCGTCTCCATGGCGGTGGTTTCTGTTTGTCGTTCAGAGGGACAAACTGGGGTGCTTTTTAAAAAACAAATGTTTAAAAGGCACCAAAGAAAACTCTTGCTGGATCGGCCTCTTTCTGTGCCAAGTTAGAGGTGACTTCATTATCAAGGACTTGGAGGCTTGAATGTGCGTTTGGGGACATGGGTTTGAACCGCAGAGTTTCTGAAAACGTCGATACAACAAAGCTCGACAGCAGTCGGTGTTTCCTGCGGTTTTGCCTGCAGCTTTGCCATCAGTGACGACATGATTGATTACATTTGGATCATTTTTATCCCACCCTCTCTACGAGCTCCGGCCGCCTCCTTGGCAAACGAGAAGCAATGAAAAATCAAACCTTTTCCATCAGCCTCAGTTACTTCCTGCCTTACAGGCTTCTTTCTGCAGAACTTTACAGAGACATTATTTCCCTTACAAGAAAGCATTTGTGAAAGAGATGTGTAGTTTCTTCTTGTTTTTAATATGTAATCGCTTTAAAAAATTCGTCTTCGGATGTTTAAACTTGGACAAAATGGTGTTAAGTGTTATTTTCAAAGTTATTAAATGTCCTGACCAGCTTGACTTAAAAATACTTCACATTCGATTGCTTTGACATAAAGTATATAAATTATTTAGTTTGATTTTGTTTATTTATAAACACACTATATATTTTCATTACTATTTTTAGAAATGTTTTTGTTGTAAGAAACTGTTTATATTAGTAAATTTAAGTACTTTTAAACTTTGCATTAATTGCATTACATAATGATAGTGGACTCATGGATCCATAAAACATTTAAAATGTCTGTGAAATGTAAAGATAAAACACCAAAGTGAATGAAAAGTGATCTCCAGGATTTACTGAAATATTTCTTCTCAAAAAAGTTACAAGTTCACAAACTCTCTGACCAAAGTAGACAAACTACAGATGCAACTCAAGTTTTTTGTTTTCATAGCTGATAATATGTACAAGTTTAGCAAGTTGTACCAGTTTGATGAGCTTTAGGTTTACAGGAAATGTCTTTGAGGCTTTAATTGGTTCTTTGATTTTGTGGGAAGTAGGTGGAAGAACCTCGTTACGGTAAAACTTCCACCTCTGGCAGACGGGATTTCCTGCTGCCACATTCTTCCAGAAACCATCCGACTGGAACGACGAGATCGTCTAATAGCAGTCAATCACGGCGACGTAGGGACCGACTCAGTCTGATCATGTTTGGCTTCTTTCATCCAGCAGGTGGAGATGGGGTTGACTTCGCCACATTTTTGGTTCTGAATTTCACAATGAAGGCTTTTAATTTGTAGAGGCTTGTGACATGAAGCACCCTGTGATCCCTCCCTGCCTGACAGCTTTACTTTGTCCATCCTTTTGATCTGAGTCAGCTGCCTGCACGTGTTGCTGCATTTGTTTCCGTTTCATCAGTCCTGCACGTCCGGCATTCTTGTGCCGCCACTTCGACACCTTTGCATCTTAATAATCGAGCAGTTCAGGTCTTGGCGATGACGTGTTTTAGATCTTGGAGACGTTGGCTTCTGATTCCAAACATGAAATGCACAGTTACAGATAAAATTAGACTTCTGGAAGAATTTCAAAACGATAAATAAATCAGTAACAACTATGACAGTAAACACCCTCAAGACTCAGATGAGGTGCTAATTAACTACCAGATTCACAACTATTAAAACACGACCTATGCCTGCAGATTGAGCTAGCTTCAGCTTGCCGCTTTGGTATCAGGATAATTTCTCTCTCAGTTCAGGCTGTGTGGTTTCTTGTTGCCCCACCACAGTGTCTATAACCAGAGCTGCTCCTTGAAATCCGAGCCGCACTGTCACTGAAGTTAGAAACCAGGTTATTGTGTTGCAGCATGTGTCCCCTCCCTGGTTTCTCCTAAAAGTTTGACTCCACTGCATGCATCCAACCAAACTACTGCGCAGAAGAAAGGAAAGCAACGGTTCTCACATGGGTGCACAATTATTCCTGATATATGAGGCTCGACTGTAAATGATGAGGTTTCTCTGGTGGAAAAACAATGTGTACATAGCCTTTGATCTGCAACCTCAAACCTAAATGTTTTTTATTGTGGTTTTATGTACCAAACCAACTCAAATAAGCCTGTGATTGTGAAGTGGAAAGAGAACAATTTCTAAAAATCCAACATAATTTACCCTCGGGATAAATCCAGTTGTTCGGTGAAGACGTCAGAGGATTGTTTGACAACTCTGGTGAACAAGCAGCATCATGAAGAAGTCAGGAGGAACTTGTGCAGGAGAAAATCTACCAACTGATGGATATTCGCCGAGCTGAATCCTCAGATGACTCTGCAGTCGTCGGGTGGATCAGAGTACATGCAGCTGCTTTGTGTCAATAATCTTACCCCGAAAGTGAGCAAAACACAGGAGATAACTGCAGATTTGAAGAGAACCGGGGGAAGGTTGAACACCATTTCCATCATGGGAGAAGAAGTGGAGAACTATAATACCTCTGTTCACCTGAACAACAGACGGTTTCAGAAATGTTCCTTAGATCGAGATGGATTTTACATGAGTCAGAAACCATCAAATAATCAAACATTACACCAATGAATCCTGGACAAAAAGAAGGAACTACAGGGTCCAAGTGTTTTTGGTGTTGGCTGCTGAGAAGCCAGTCACTGATCTGTGACAGCCTATCCACCTGAAGAGGCTAAAAAGTCGCATACAGTTGAATATCATCTGCATAAAAGTGATGCAAGAAGTGTCATTAAAAGATGACATGATGGCAGCTAAAGGGAGGATGTAAAAACAAATAATGGACCCAGATCCGACCCTGCTGGAATCCCAAAGGTTTCATAAGTGATCTTAGATCTGAACTTGTTTGACGCAGCAGAAAACATCCAACTATAAAAATATGAAAATCAGTCAATGTTAGAACCAGATATGGCTGCAACTAGCAATTATTCTAGTGATCAATTAATCTATCAATTAGTCTGACAATCAGATAAAAAAGGGCACATTCTACAGATTTTTTATTCGACAGCTTAAACATTTTTGATGCAATATTTTAAACACTATCAGACGCCAGTAAACAACTCTTAAGTTCCTTTTAAAAATGAAACATTTTATTGAATAAAATGCAATACTGTCACATTCCTTTAGTAATTCCTGCACTGAGTGAAGCCAAAACTGTTCTAGTTGAGCAGTTTTGGCTAAAACATACATACAGAAAAAATGTTTTCATTTTAAATGTGAACTATGTATATTTTTTTGTACAGTTTTGGCTTAACTACTGCTCTGAATACGTTATATTTTTCACCAAAAAGAGTTTTTTTCGGTCTGTATACTGCAGTTAACGATTAATCTATAACTGAATATGTTGATTATGTCAACAAACGATTAATCACGATTAATCGTTTCAATTCAATCTTTTTGACTGATTCGGACCTGGATTTGTGTTTCAGTTGTGGTTTGTTTCTGCTTCGAGGAATCGGTGGCTAAATGCTATGAAATGCGGCTGATTGGTTTCACTGAATTCTTGTTGGAACCAGTTTTGAGCGAAGCTGTAAGCAGTGACGTCACGCTGAGAGGATTCGGCGTCTCGTTGAACTGAAGGTGCCTGGCTCTGATGCCTCCGAGTCGCTCTGATTTCATCTCCACATTCCTGTCTCCTGTTGCGGCTCTATATTTAATAATTACAGGTTTGTTTGGTTTTTATGGAAAACAAGAACGATGGGATCTCCCTCTTATTTTTTTTTACTCCTCCTGTGGTTTGCAGCAGCATCTTTGGGTGTATGAATAAAAAAACACATTTTACCTCATCATTTAGTCTATGAAACTCTCAGCCTTCACCTTCTGCTCAGTTTATTTTGCCGTAGTTAAAAGTGAGGCTTATTTGGAATTGTAAACATTTGGTGTTTTTATTTTCCCCTCGGGTTTGACTCCTGTTTTCCATGAGGTTTGAGAATCAGGAGAGATTTTGTAGACTCGTCTGAGTGTAATGTTAGATGAAGCTGTGCTAAGAGTCTTACATTTTCCTCCCCGTTTCTAAGAGACTGACAATTTCAGTGAGTGAAATTCTTATTAAATATAAAAAGTAGTTGAGTTGACAATAATCTCTAATATTTTAGAGTATTTTTAAAGTACCTGTATTGTCAGGTTCAGCTGGTGATGAAAGATGTGGATTAAGCTGATTATTTGTTGCTGGGTTACCATTGAACCTACAACCCAGTGATTATGATATAAATTAGCCTTTCTGTAAGTTTTTATTTACATTTTTAAGATGCAACTAAAAGAGTGCAAGTAAAAATAGGTGAAGCTTAAAAGAAGCACTTATGTTTGTTTTTATCTTCTCAAAATTGATTTAATGCACTTTAAGAGGAAGCAATCTGGAAAAGGAGGATGGATTTTGACTTGATTGGTAAAAATATGTTTATAAATATCAAGTCACTTAATTTATTTATTCATATATTCTCCACTAAAGTTGTTTCAGGTTTCTTCTGCTGAATCACAAAGACTTTAAAGTTTTGACTGGTTTATATTTATTTTTTTCTAAATAGATTTTATGCTTTTTCAAAAGAAAGTTAGATATTAACTTCTGTAGTTTGGGCTTTGAATTATCCCAGTTTGCTTCAGCTCAATGGAGAGAATCACAGAAATAATTTTTATTTTTATTTTCGTTCCTCATGAGTTAATTCCTTCCCTGTCGAGTCGCTTTATAAAGATGACATTCTACAACGTATTTATGTTGCTTTCAGTTTCTGGTTTGCTGTGAGTAAACATGAAATCTAGCTGCTGTGAATTTGATTAATTTATTTATATTTTGGAACAAAGCAGAGTTGCAGAGCGGCTCGTCGTCGAGTAAAAACTAAAGCCAAAGGTGGATGACAGCAGAGGAGGTTAATGAGAAACATCAGTGAGTCTCGTTGTTTATCTGGTGTTGTATGTGGAAACATTCCCATTGATTTTTAGGACGTGTTGGTTAAACAGAAACCTGCGTGAAGGTCAGTTTGGTGACCTTCACACAGGAGGAAGTCATGAGGGTCAGTGTTGATCCTGATTGGTTTTTATTTTGAGTCTCTTACCCAAGAATTGATAGAAAGTGTTTAATTCTCATTGGATTCAGGCCTTGATATCTTTTTTTATTGATGTTGTTTCTGTGCTGCTGAACTCCATTATGAGTCAGTCTGTTCAACTCAATTCAGTTCAAAATCACTTTATTAATCCTAAAGGGAAATAAAATCTTGTAACTCATATTATCCAAGATTCTTCAAAGAGTTGAATTGAGTTTAAAGGAAAGTAAAGATCCTCACATTCTTCCTTTTACAGTTTGAATCACGTTTGCCAGTTGCAATGTTTTCTTTTTTTCTTGAAAGCTGCACATGCATTGCATTACAGTTGAGCAGTAAAGTAGCACCTGCAAACCTTTTTCATCTCGTGGTTTAATGTCGACTGCACACTTTTGGGAAGGTTCGTCTGTAGCTAATGGATGTTTATGTAGCAGAGAAATAAAACCAGCATCTGAAGCTGAAATCTGCAGTCTGGAAGGAAGATTTTGAAAAAGATGCATCGTTTTGTGATCTGATGTTGCAAGATGAAGCATGAACTAATTATGACGGAACATAACTGGGAGATTTGCATGAACTGAGTAGCAATAAATCAGTTAATCAGATGATAAATTAAAACAAGCTCATTCCATTTGTATGATCTGTTTTTCTCTCTTTCTACTTGGAACTGGATGAAAAAAGTCTAGAGTTTTGGTCTCAGCTGGTTCTTTTGTTGAAGGACAGTTTTGTTTGAGAGATTCATAATTCATTGTATTTGTTATTTGCTTCATTTATTTTGGATATTTAAAATGTCCTCCAGCGCCAGTTCAGTGTTTCAGATTAAAAGTTCTTTGGGAATGATTGTATTGATAACTTCTGTTTACCATCCATCTAAACTTATCGTGACAGGCCGAACTGTGAGCCCCTGTGCTGCAATAAAACTGGAATTAGAAAACAGTTTTGCCTTCTAAAGCAAAACCAAACCATGCAATAGCGATGTAAAAAAAAAAAAAAAAAAAGTTGCATAACAGTTCAGCGATTAAAAGTTCCTTTTTTCGCTCTCCTGTGAAGGCCGTGTTCTTGCTCAGCCTCCCTGCAGACCGGCTTCGTCCTCCGTCTCGTTCTGTTCTCTCCGGCTGCTCCACAGACGGAAAGCTGAACTCGCGATGCTTCTGTGTGACTCTTCATTATTCATAAAGTTAATCAGGCTGCAGGCTCTTCTGCATTCTGCACAGGTTTCCATTTTAGCTTCATGTGTTTACATTCACTAACCCATCATGTGGATGTGAATCCCCCACGCTGAAACAAAAACCCTCTTGTTAAAAGTTTTAAAAGTTTAATGTCCTAAATAAAATGTCCTACCTGCCTCAGTTTAATGTCGACTTATAAACGGCATAATTTTGACTATTTCTAGAGTGTAATATGTTAACCTGTCAAGCTCTGGCCTGCTTGGATCAGATAAGAGTTTCTGTGAATGGCGACATTGTTCCTCGTTGCCATTAGGCTGTTTGTTCTTTGCCAGCGGTTTCTCTCCAGTTTCTGTGTCTGGGTCTTTCCTGCCTTCGCCTCGGTTTCTCGGCGAAATGGGGTTCAGCGTCGGGGAAGGTAGACTGGTTCAATACGAGGACAAAAGAGTGAGTGATAGCGCTGCGACCTGAGGACATTGACCCTGATCCAACACTCACAGTGGGAACAAGTTGGAGGAAATGAGTGGAAATGCACAACCACAGAGCGGGCTTGTCTGACCGGGATCGACTGTTTTAGTCTGACATGAAGATATTACTTCATCTGATGTTGAGTTTATAAAAATGGATTAGAAATATCAGGAGGTGAATTAAAAAAAGTAAATGTTTCCTTAGAGTTTTGACAAGTTGTTTGTGTTTTTCAGCTTTGTTTGAAACGTCCTTCCTTCTCCTTTCACTCCTGACTGACTGTAAAGCAGGTTGAGTTTCAGAGTCCTTGAATCCCGCTCTGGGGAGGAAAGTTTGGAAGATGGGCAGGAGAGATGTAGTTAGGATGCAAATTCACACATTATTTTTAAAAATTAACTTCATGCTAAAGCATTTGGAGGCTGTTTGCAGATTGTCAGGTTTTCTGCAGATTTCTCCCCATGCAGATTCTCTTTCTACACAAATCGGATTTACAGCCACTATCGCAAACATCCTGCTAACTTTTCAGACGTGAAACGTATTCCCTGCTTTGAAGTGACTTTGTTTCTGGCGCCTCAGTTGTTACACAGCAAACAAAGCACAGGCTTGTCTGCATGCACAAATCCAATCTGCTATTTTATTACAATATGAACGCCTGACATTTGCTGCACACGTCTTGTAACACTTTAATCACATTTTGCAATTTCAAATTCTTTTCACTGGTGTCATTATGGCTCTATGAAAGGATCTTTGGTTTTCTCTCAGTCTTGCTTTGACTAAGCCGTTCACATCGCAAGATCAGATAAGAGCTGATCTCGTGATTATTTTTTATGAGCCATACGTTTTTTATTTTGTTTTTTTTTATTATACAGAATTTGAAGCTGAAACTGTCAATTGAGAAATTCTGGGTAGATAATTTTTAAAGACATAAGTGTTTTCATCTTAAATGTGAAATGTACATATTTTCTGTACAGTTTTGGTTTGGTTGCAGCTCTGACTGTTGTTCTTTTAGAGTCTGTATACTCCAACTAATGACTGCTGCATTACGAGATCAGCTGACAATTATTTCAATCGAGTCATCATCACAATTGACCCTATTTTGTCAGTGGTGTGTGGAAGAAGCCTCCCCCAGGCTCTGTTAGTGTGAGATACTAACTCCACTTTCAGGTGAAAGCAGTGACTCCAAATAGTTTTGCCTGATGAAAGTCATCAACGTAGAACAGTTCAAGCCGTTTTCAGATCAATCTTTCTGTCTTGCATCAGTTTGTTTGGGTTTGATGTCCTCTGAATTTACAGATGGAAAAAGCAAATGCTTTTGCTCTCTGCTTGTAAAACATGAACATAAGACAGGTTTAAATTATAAAATAAATACATTGCTGCGTTGCCCCAGAAACCGCTGCAGGCATCCAAATCCTCCGGTTTAATTGCAGATGCCTGTTGCAGATAGTCAGGGTGATGTAAGCTCTTCCACAGGTTGTGTGTGGACACACACCATCAGCACGCTCTGGTGCCAATAAGCCTGCTGTGTGCTCCTAATCCACAGCTTATTAGTGCTGCCTGCGGTGAGGATGCGGCATCCATTGTCCCCGATGGAATCGGGTCGTGTTTTTTTAATCACCATGAGATGAGTGTCATGTTGTTTTACATCTCGTTGTCTTTAATTGTGTTCATCCCAGTTTCTCCTTCTGGTTGGGTTTAAACCAAATCCCTCCCTGCTCTAAAACCCTTAATCTACAATTACTTAATTATTCCCTCAGATCTTCTGTGTCCCCAGAGTCACTTTCCAGCTCCGTCTTTCTAAATGTGGAGGGAAGAAAGCTGCAGCAAAATGCATTTTTCAGGGGATGCATTTCACTGGGGAACGCGTTGAAACAGTGTCACGCTCAACTGCTTGAGTTAAAAGTAGATCAGATCTGCACTAAAGCTCCACTGATGCTTCACAGTGTGCATGTAGCGAGTCAAAACTCCCCTGTGAAGATGCTGGGAAAGAGGAAATAAGTCAATATTTTATGGATGATAAAATATCCATAAAACATCCATATGTTGTACAGGTACAACCTCTTGCCTCAGGTTGTACAGCTACAACCTGAGACTTTTTAACCCATCATGGCAAACGATGGAGATTATAACAAAACAAAGCGATCTGCCAGGAACGGCTGCCGTCTGCAGGTTTCCACACAGTGCTCATGTTTCTGGGTCGTACTGACAGAACGCCGTCTCCCTGCTTTAAGGTAGCTCTTATAACAGATCAGGGAAAAGGTTTCGCTTTGGTGCAAACTGAGCCAAAACTTTGCTTGAATAGACTGAAAATTCAGCTGCATGTTTAAATAATGTAAAAAATTTGCTCAATCAGGTGCATTCATCAACAAACTTACACCCATATTTGCCCACAAATAATAAATGTGTTTTGGCCTTTTGCTGAATAGCAGCAGATGGTATCGCAGGCAATAAGATTAAATGAAGTGGGAGTCGATTAAGACCCTATGTTGACCCCAACGAGCGAGGTCAGGCACCGACTCACTGACTGCCATCATGTCCTCCTTTATTCATGGATCAACTTCCGCAGTTTCATGTTTGTGTCCCTTTTTGGATAAGAACTGATGTAATCTAGGTTTCCATTAGTCTGCAGTTATCATTCTGAATTGTGGGATGTTAAACGTTAGAGCAACACTTACAGATCAGATTAACTGAACAGCTTTTCAAAACTTGTGACATTTAAATAATATTTCACACACTGTCATGGGTGTTTTGGTCTGTATCAATATTCAAACTCCTTACGATGATGTCATTTTTGTCTTTATCATGGTGAACGACACCACAAGATATTCTGATTAGGTCTGTCACAATTTCTGGAATATAAATTGTCCCAGAAGTTGTTGCAATAAATGATGATCTTGTTGATCAGACAATTTTCAAGTAATATAACAACAAAGTAATGTAAGAACACATTCTCAAAGATCAGTAAACTTTAAATTCTAATGAATATTTAACACTGGAACTGGAAGACATTTTTAATATCCAAAATAAATAAACAGAACGACAAACTAAATTGTGAAGAAAATTGTCCTTGATAAAAAGGTCTAGTTGAGACCAAAGACTTTTATCATTAAGATTTTGGTATGTAGAGAGAAAAGAGAAAAATTACAAATCATACAAATGGAGCTTGTTTTAGTTTATCATGCAACTAATTGATTTATTGCAACAGACCTATAAATAAGAGACCCTTTTCCTGGTGGGCAGAGCAAGTAAGAGAAAATTCTGTAAATAAAATAATTAGCTGCAGATTTAAACATTAGATCTCTATCTGCTGGTAGAAAGTTGAATTATCTGCTGTATAATGACATATTCAAGAGGAGAGACGTGACTTTAATGGCTGTTCTTTTGTATTAAAACTGAACTAAATCTAAATATTAAAATAGGATAGTCAGAACGGTGCATTTACTAGAAGTGCAACTTGTTGAGTTGAAACCCCAGAAATCGTAACATTTGGTGCAGTGGATGTAAAACCACAATGACCAGATGAGATTGTCAGATATGGATAGTTAGGTCAAAAGGACAGTTTCCAACAACAGTGGGAAAAGTTTCAGAAGCTCCACAAACAAGATGAAGAAAGTATTTTTGGTAAAATTGGAGAAGCTTTTAATGTTAAAAATTTAGATCCTCTCTAAAGACCTGCAAGGGCAAAACACACTCTGTATGATCTTCTTAAGAGAATATCAGCACTTTCCCCTCATCTGTTTGGACTGGATTGCTTCTCATAGCTTCACTTCTTTTCTTCTCCCTGTTGTTGGTTTTGTACTTCCTCTGAATTGTTCTGTTCACCCTCGTTTGCTGCCACCGGTGCCACTGATGCCCTCTCTGCCACCTCATCCTCCTCCGCCATTCTCAAAGCCCTTGCCCTCGCCTCCGCGTCTCTGTCCTCCAGCTCAGTGTTTTCACTGGAAGATGACGATGAGAACATTTCGTCAAACAGATCATCAATCAGGCCTGAAAGCTCCTGTAAAATGTCGTCGTCCTCGCTGCCTGAGCTCAGGTCTTCGTCTGGTGAAGTGGTCTCTAGAAACAGTTCAAGCACCTCTGAAACCAGGCTGTAAGTGACTTGTCGTTCTGCAGCTTCATTTGCGTGCTGTGGACAAAGATTCGGTACGACTTTATTACTTTCTGTTAATGTTGCATTAAAAACTAAGCCACCAGGTGAAGCTACAGTAAAGAATAATCTGTTTTTGGTAGGGGTGCACCGATAAATCAGCCTATGTTTTCTGAATTTTGGGAGTTCAGTGACCAGCCAGTACTTCCATGTGGATCTGCTCTTACCTGCCTCGACAAAAGTCTTAATGATCAAGTGCTGTCCTCTGCCGTGAGAGAGGTTTGACCGATACACCCACCCAACAGGTCTTGTCTGCATATTCACAGGTAACATTAACCCCTCCCACTGTTTCCAACTCAGAGACTTTCTTGGTGTAGACATGTTGCATCTGAACATTTCGTCCAGGCGCACAACACTGGCAGGTGAAATGACGATTCCTTTGCTGGCTGCGCTGCTGCGGTCGAGCGATTCACGTAACAAAATGAAACCTGGAGATGTTGGTATAATTAATTTAGTGCAGTGCGCCACAGCAAACTGAAAAATAACACAGAAAAACCGTTTAAGAACAACTCAAAAACACTTTTGAGTACTTATTTTCTATTTGTTTGCTTTGCGTCGGCTACGATACGCACAGACGAGTTGCCATAGCAACAGACTGACATCAGCTCCACTAGTGTATCAGTGTTCGCTAACATTTCCCACACACAGAACAGAACATTCAGTCCGTTACAGTATCATGTTTTCAGGCGATCATGTTTCCTGCGATTTTTAGTAAGTGATCGTCTGAGAACAGCAGAGGTATTAAATAATTTAAACACGATACGATATCAGAGTCGGTGTGAGGGTCGTCCCCCCCTTTTTTTTTTTTTTTATAACTGAACCGAAACGCACCAAATTCCACAGCACATCTAAGTGCTAAGGTTTTCAAAGTCAAGCTAGCATAACTGGCCTACTTCTCCCACCCTCTCGTTTTTATTCTAATAAAACTTTTTCTGACCTTATTATCCATTTGTCGTAGTGTTGACAATAACAAAACACTGCGCCCCTTTTTCTTTTATACATCACACGGTACATTTAAGATTTACCATCTTGACAACTTGACAGCTAAAACCAAAGCTAGTCATCGTCAGTGATCAGCGATTTGCCCTACAGCAGGGAGCTGGGGGTGGGACTTCGCACACATGACATCAAGAACAATTTAGCTACTTTTCAGACAAAAAATATCAGTTTCTGCCTTTATCAGGCTTCTTGAAGATCAGTAATCTGCGATCGGCCATAAAACTGCAATCGGTGCACCCCTATTTTCTGCCTTACCTCGTTGTCGATTATTTGGTTGTTTGTGTAAATGCCCTGGAATGAGGTGAGATTGTTGAAGAGGCTGTTGGGATCTTCCTCCTGGTCTTCAGGGTTCTGGTTCTGCTGAACCTCGTTGTCACTTTCACACGACTCCACGTCCGGGATCTGGTCCTCCAGAGACATTTCACTCTTTACGTTTACTCACAGCAGCGTAGCAGGTGTTAACAGACCCCTGAAAGTGGCCAGAATGGGTCACAAGTGTTGTTGCCACGTTTGTGCTGTGTTTACGGTGCTGGGAAACGGTGTTGTGCTTCAAATCAGGAGTTCTTCTTAAGGTCTGTTCTGCTGTTGGGTGTTGTGAGGTGTTTTGGTTTGAAAGGCCTGATGCAAAGACGGCTTCTATGAATGATTTAAATCCTAGACAAAGTGTAATGTTGTCATATCCAAAATTATTAAATATTATGGTTAGTCTAGAGCTAAAACGATTAATCAAATGCTTGTGATTAATCGATTTTTGAAATAATCAACTATTTTAGTAACGTATTAATCATGCCATAAATCAGGCCATTTGCTGGAAGAACGTCAGAGCGGTAATGACCAAAAAAATCCATAAATTTAACATTTCAGATAAAAAAATCGTCTTTATTAGTTAATATGTTCGACCCAGAACTTCTGACATGGCAGTTTTAGCTTCACCTGGTTCAGACTCTGTAAAATAAAAGAAATCCCGTCATACCCCTTTTAGTATCCAAGTACTAATCACTTAATCTTCACAAATAATCAACAGATTAAGACATTATTTGATAAGCTGCAGGTGCGTCCTTTGCTACAAATGACACACTCATTAAATTGTTTTTTCATTTTATGCAGTAAAATGTTTTTTATGCATAAAAAGTATTTGCTCATTTGCCTAATATTGTGATTTTTATTGTTGATTCTGTTGCATGACTGTGTTTATGATGTAAAGCACTTTGAAATGCCTTGTTGCTGAAATGTCCTATACAAATAAAATTTGACTTAATTTATGTAAAAAAAAAAAAGCTCTTAAGTGGTTAAATAAAAATCCAACTAATTGATTAATCCATAGAATAATCCATTACTAAAATAATCATTAGTTGCAATCCTACTGTAGGTTTGAAAGGTGTATGTGAACATTAAGCAGACCAGAGATCGCTCCAAAAGCAGAAAGTTGACTGTAGTGCAGTGCATTGTGGGTAAATACAACCAAAACAAATACATTAGCCTAGCGCTAGCGGGAGAAATGGCTTCTGGTAGACATTTCTACAACCGCTAAAATCTGATTCTGCTCCATCTTGGTTTACATTTTGTGAAGAAGGAAGTTGCGCTCAGCGTCTTTTTCAGAGGCTTACATGTAATTTCTTTCAGCGGTCCTTGCTGCAGCGCCCCCACAGGCGGGGAGGGGAACAGGTTGCTCAAAGGGTTTTGGTTTGTTTGACACAACAAACAAATCAAACCGACTCAATCAGGTGTGAAAACACTCGTAAAATAATTCAATCAGAGCTTAGTGATGGCCATTCAACAACCTTGAAGTTATCTTCAGGTCACTTTGTAACTCATAATTAGGGTAATTTTCCACTTATAGAAATCCCAGTTGTTCCAAAGCTTTAGCTTCTTGGCTGATGTCTTGAAATGCTGCATCAATATTTCCACATATTGTTCTTTCCTCATGATTAATACATTTAATATTCGTCTTATTTTGAGTCATATTTTGCTCCACTTTGATGTTTCCTGCTTCTGTTGCTGTTACATTTTCACTACAACACAAAACTATATTTTGTGTTATTGCAATGACTTGTTTTCAGTCTGCACTCTTAAGCTAAAATGACCTCACTATTGTATCCTGAATTCTCATTACTGTACAGCAGACGGTACATTTCAATCGGACCTCGGCGCGCTGCGTGGTCTTTTCTTTTTGCACAGTGAGCTCTGCAGGCCGGCTTGTCTGCCTTAAATCAGAAACCGGGCTTCCCGCCGACTGTCCCAGCGCCTGCCTTTGGCCTCCTTCCAGGTCTGCTGTCGGACAGATGAGCGCTACAATAGGCGACGGCTGCTGTGATCCAGCTCCAGATCTGTCCCTCGTCGTTTAATGTCCCCCTCAGACGAGGGCTGTGTGTAAATCTCTATTAGCTACCAAATGGAACAGGCGAGAGTGAGATTGTGGGTATGTGACGTGTGTTATTTCCACGCTGACCCACGTCAGTAGAAACTCTGTTTTGTGGGTGTGACTCGTTTTTCCGCCTCTGTCAGGCTTTTTGACTTGTTTACTATGTGTCCTCTGTTTGCAGTTGGTCATGGGGAATTTGCTGTGAGCTATTTTTGCACGACGAGCTTGGCCTCGCAGAATGACACTCACACACACACACACACACACACACACACACACACATGCATTTTTACACACGGTTTGATGTGGCCCTGAAAACAGAATAAACTTCACATAAGACTCGCACAATGTGGGAAGAGAATTCAGTCTTTTATTGGTTGAAACCAAAACAACAACAATAGGATTCTTGGTATAGAACATGTTTGCAGCTCTGAATGTTCAAGCCCACTCCTGGAGATCCTGCAACTTTTAGATGCATCCCTTCTCCAGCCAGTGTTGCCAGATTGGGCGAGTTTCTCCTCAGTTGAGCTGATTTTTTCAGAGGTTTGAAAAAAGGGCGGGTTGTTAAAATTTGGGCTGCTTTTCACAACATGTGGTGAGTTTTTAGGAAGTGCTGATAGGAAAGTCCAATTCAAATGCTGTGTTCTTGTACTCGTTTTATCTATAACATATTCCTGCAGGGAGAAAAAAGGAGTAAATCTGCAAGAAAAAAAACTCAGAACTTTACATTAATCTGAGAAATTTCTAGAAAAAACTTAGAAATTTCAGAGTTTCAAAAGTTGAAAATGTTTGACTTTTGAACAACGCAATTGTAAGAATCTGTTGAACATGACATCATCGATTAATAGTCATTGGTTAATAAAGTGTCACTATGTTCCACTGTGTTCAGTTCAAGCCCTGTATTTGGGCTGGAAACTGTCAGTCAGATTTAACAACCCCGTCTCCAACACACCTGAACCACATGAATGTCTCGACACCAAGCCTCTGCAGGATGAACTGCTGATGAGCGAACTCAGGTGTGTTGGAGAAATGATTCCATAAACCTGGGATTGGGCTGCTCTAGTTTAAGGTAAACTCTTTCTACTTAACTTTATGGCAGATTTCACTTTACAGTGTTCCAGATGCATGAAAGGTCTTCTCATCCTGTTTGTTTGAACTGTGACTCCTTTGAATGTTTTTGGTTTTAGACTAAATTCACACAGCAGACAAATGCGTCCCATATCCGACGTTTTCAAGGCAGTTTGGACAACATGATTCTGATCTTTTCACCTCCAGAAAATCCGATTCGTTGTACTAAATCTGACATGTATCTGAAAGTTTTCAAAGCTTAAAGGGCATGTCTCATTTTATTCTATTTGTATGCATAATTCTGCACCAGAAGAAGCCACATGTGGTAAATGGGGACATAAACCATGTTTGAAGCATCGTTTGTTTTTTCTTGGCTTCCTTTGTCTTATGATCTTGTGACACTTGTCTCTTCTGAATGCTCAACAGCTTTAAAATCAATCCACATTTGGGGGCATCCATTATTCCTTACGAAAACTGGTACATAATGTAATGCAATGCACTTAAATTGAAGAAGTTTTATTCATGTTTTACGCCTGGTGCCAAACGGTGTTGAGCTGAATGTAATGCAGTGAAACATGATTCCTTAGTACAGTAACATGAGAGAGAATGGATGTTTAGAAAAAAATCCTTTTTTTAACTGGGACAGACAAAGGCTGAACAGGTGGATCCTCAAAATAAATATTTAAAAAATAAATTTGGCATTTTATTCACAATATAGAAAGAAAGAAACCACATAAATTTCATGCTGTTAAATTTAGACTTGTTGGACCCTGCATGTATTTACAGACTTTTAAAAACCGTCTTTTTGACCAATCTGCTGACTGTTTCTGACTTTAAGAGGAAATGAAAGTCTCACTAAAAGGATCCATTGTCCCATTTTATCAGCAACATGTTGTTGTTTAACAGCCTTCATGTGAATCCCCTCACGCTGATTAAAAGCAGCGCCGTATTCATGCTTTTTCTGCCTCTTTGCTCGTCTTTCTCATCTGTTTATCGTGCGTTTAGCGAAGCTGTACCTGCCAGGCTGACTGATGCCCACGTGCTGCACGCTCTGCAGCTGAACACAAATGAACATAATACACAAGCTAACCAGGGCGAGACCTTGTTTGTTCTCATGAGTGATTACACAAAGGTGTACATTTTGCATATCAAAACCCTTGGATAAACATTCTTGATTGTGCAATCATTGTAAATCCTTTAAACACCTTTTTTTAAATCTACCATTTATTGATAATTTCTGCCTTAAATGCATATCTGAAGTTTTCCTGCTAGCTTTGACAAATTGATAAAGATCTTTATTTCTGTTTTTTTTGTGTTTCTAAATGTGAAAACATTGGCTGTGGGAGTCTATCTGCAGTAGCTGTGAGTGGATTCCCGTCAAGCTCTGATGATTATTGAGGCCTCAGTGAACATCAGTGGCATCTGGAGAAGATGAATGTCGTGTTTCAGTACATATCCCCTGATAAACTCTGATTTCAGCCACCATGATGTTTTTAGAGGATAATTACGTTCTTGTACCAGTTACGCTTTCAACCGCCAGCCCATCCTGTTACGTTTGTTCTCGTTTGAAGACGTTGAGCCGTTCGTGTCAGAAGGTTTTAAAGTTTAAGATGTTCCTGATCTGACTGGAAATGTTTTTTTATTTCATATCTGAATGGAGGAGGGAGAAAAGTTCATAAATATTTCCATAGTTCATTCACGGTCCTGTTGTTCATCCATCTGTCCGTCCAGTCAGTCTGTCCTTCGGTTTGTCCATCCAGTATTTGTCCTTTGTATGAAAAAGGTAAAAATATCCAAGGGAGAGAGAAATCAATTTGAATTGCAAATTGAATTTTGGAGAGCATAAACTGAAAAATGTGTAGGAAGTTTAACCTTTTTGTTTTTCTTTGGTTTCAGTTTTAAATAAATCAATATGAATGTTAATTATTGGGTTTATTCACCACTGTTTTTCCTTGTCTTCCTGTCTAACAGGATGCGAACTACTGGCTGCAGGTCCACCGACTGGAGCACGGCGACGGCGGGATCCTCGACCTGGACGACGTGCTTTGTGACGTGGCTGACGACAAAGACAGAGTGAGTTGATAACCTGATGGGTTTTATACACTTGTGCCTCTTTTTGTCTGAGACATTAGCGCCGTTGTTTACATTGATCAGTGAAACGGTTTCGGCTGTAAATCCTGGACCCTTTGAACTCGTCATCCTGACGTCCCGGCTAAGTTTGGCTCCTCTGTTCCTCTCATCGTCTTTGGAAGTGCTCAGAGTGTGAACCTGACATCAGAGAAGCGAACCGCGATTTATCGCTCAGAGGTCACGGGGTCAAATTCTGTTATCTGAAACAAAACGTGGACGGTGGCTGAGAGCAGAAGCTGTTGTAACATGGGGTCAGAGGTTGGATTTGCTGAGAAATTTATTTGCTTGTTTTTGTTTTTGTAATGCAAACCGGACATTGAAACGGTGTGGGTGTGATTTTCTGTGATGGTTTACTGAACGTGCTGAAAACTTGAGAATCAAAGGATTTATTTTAAGGTTTATGGAGGTCTGGGCTCTTTGTTGTTACGATTTTGACTCATATCGGTTATCTAAACTACTCAGTTTGTTTATAATATGCATATATCTGCAATAAAACGTGCAAAGAAGAACTGAGAGCCAGCTGATATTCAAAAGATTTATTAGATTCACTGACCTGCCTTGTTGGCAGCATTGAAGCGTCACTCTTTGGTTGGTGAGTGATTTGGTTTTCTGTCTAAATGTTTGGATTATTTTCATCCGGCACTGAAATGATCAGAAACACAGAATAATCTGATCTCCCCTTACAAGAAAATGCATACAAAATGAAGAAAAATTAGAAAAATCAAACAAAAAACCAACAAAATAACAAAACCCTGCACAACTGTGTGAAATCAAGCTAATGTTGCATAACACAAGAACTTATATTAGTGTATTTAAATATGATTTAATTTCTTATCCAATTTTCCAGACAAAAACCCACAATGAAAGAAAAGACACATCCGCTCAAACACACTAATATATAACTTATGAATGTGAGTTAAAAATGTTTTAATCTGGACCCAGCGCAGCGTTTAACCCCTTCCTGCATGCATCACTTTATATGGCTGCGCTGCATGAGGTGCGTTCAAGTGCAATGGGAAATGCTCACTTCAAACAGGAACTAGTAAAATAAAACAAACACATTTACATGACAAGTAATGGGTGATTTGGTGAAATTCAGGCTTGGGGCAGTGGTGTCCAAATGTTTTGCACAGGGGCCAAAATCCCCAAGTTTAAAGTATTCAGGGCCACAAATGGCCCCCAGGCCGCACTTTGGACACCCCTGACTTAAAGACACATTTAACCTGTTACACTAGCATGGAGAAGCTATCGGCTACTAAAAGCTGCTTCCTGGAAACCTCAGCACCACTAACTATGTGATTTAGGTGAATATATGTGAAACATTTTTTGGGCCTGCTGGTGCCATTTTGGCCCTGTTAAAGTCCAGTTTGATGCCCTTGAGGGGTGAAGATGAGCTGTATTTATTTTGATGTCGGCCTCGTCTCTCCATTGATCCGGGCTGACGTAGACCTGGAGCGAGATGAGACGGAGAGGAGGAACATATAAAACATGCGTGAGGGTGTTTGCCCCTCTGAACATGACTGGTGGTCTCCTGGCGACTCGGCTCTGATATTCCTCTGGAGCTTTTTAAAGGCTGGAAGGAATGTCTGGCTCTTCACACTGGGACACATTTATAAGCTCACGCTGGAATCTTCAGAGTATAATATCCAGAAGCTTTCTGGTGCTTTCGCTTTGTGATCGAGGCCCCTGCAGCCCAGTCATGTCTGCAATTATCAGCTTTTATACGGATTCAGAAAGTGTGACGTCTGCCAGGAAAAGCGGCAGCTCGTCCTCAGACTTGTTGATTATTTTCCCATATGCCCTTCCTCCCTCACTCACTGTTTCCTTCCCTTTCCATCTTCTTCTTATAAAATGAGACCAGATTCTTTATTGATAAATGACCTTTATTAGCTCTGCTCTCTGAGAATTTAATGGGAAATACTTCATTTATCTTGGCTGCCAGTTTGAGACTGAATGTTTCTCTATTGTTCAAACTGGAAAACAATCAGTCCAGTTTTGAGTTGAACTGGTTGAACTCTGTTTCCAGCATCTGTCCTGCGGATAATCTCTGAACTCTGATGCTTTTCAGTATTTGGTCGATATTTAAAATGTTAAGCTGAAAAAAGCCACATGACTGTGTTGCACATTTTGTGTCCAGATGTTGATTTAAGGTAAAGACAGATGCCACACTGTCTGGGCAAAACTGAAAAGTAAATCTGAGTTTACAAAACGTCTGTTTTCATTTTCTGTTCCTTATACGTCGTCTAAAACTTTCTTCTTCTCTTTCTTGTATTTCTTCCTCTTAACTTTCTGTCTTTCAACCTTTGCTTCCTCCTTCATCCCTTCTTTACATGTTCCCTTCTTTTCTTTCTTTTTGCTGAAGTTCCTTGTGCTCTTTCTCTCATTTTAGTCTTTCCTTCTTTTTTCTCTCTTTCATTCATTCTTCCTTCCTTCAGGCTCTATCTTTGTATTTGTTGCATTTTGTCTTTAAATGTTCTTTCTTTTCTCAAAACGACTCCAGTCTGGAAGATTCTGCGATTTTTTTTTCTTTTCCATTAAAATGTCTTTGAACTAAAAAGCAAAGTCACATCTGGACCCAAGAACAAAAAAAGAAAAGTTCAGTATTAGTTGCTTTGCGCAGGATTGCTCACACTGTCCACAAATTACACGGAGACACGGAGATCCTTGACAGAAACTCGAGCTGCCCAACCCGGCGTGATGGAAACGCCACATTTCTGTGTTTATGCGTCAACCACAGAGGGTTTTTGGCTCTCTGCGTGCATTATTCTTAAAATAATTAGATTTTCTCATTTTAATAATCCAACACAGACGTTCTAGCTGAAAGTCAGCATCCAGTTTTCTGCAGATTTTGAGTTTTTGTTATGAAGGCCACCTCAGATAGTTGATTTTTGTGTTTGTTGCTGATCCCAGCCCTTTCTTGGTATGAGCTGAATATAGAGCAGCCTGCCTGCGCTTCAGACAGGCGGAGTGACGGTCGGGACGGGGCCAGGAGGTTAAATAAACCCAGAGGAGTTTCCCCAAGCGGCCGCTTCGATGCTCCGTTTACCCCGTCACAGAATATCAGCAGAGGAGCCGGCTGCCAGGCGCTCCATGCTCCGTTTTAAACTGTCTCAGAGTAAACGGACTGACTTCAAGGTGCTGAAGTGATAAAATAATGAGCCTGGTAATTGGAGGGCGTCATAATTGAGAACATGTGGATGAAAGAAAGGCTGACTCACCACAAAAGAAGAGTTTCTCTACAGTTATTGACCTGGTGTTTGTTTCTGTATTGATTTTTCTAAGTGCTTAGACGATAAGATGCAGTGAAAGAAATCCCACCGGGCCTCCTGTGCTGGAGGTGCTGACTGGATATTTTTCTGAATAAATACTTAGTTGACCTGTGGTGCTTCCTTGAACAGGTTCGGACATGTCTGTGGGCGAAGCATAACATGTTCGTTATATTTCATCATTCATTGATAATGATATTTTAGTCTGATCAGTTCTGTACCTTTAGCTGGTTTAGGGATCTTGTCTCTTCAAATCCAGATAAGCTGCTGCTGGCCACACCTCTCCAAATCTCACGATGAAACAGATGCACAATTATACAGCTGTACATCTTTGAAAAGCATTAGTAGAGCCTCATGTACATCCAACAAGAAGGCAGCAAGTTGTTTCTGGGTAGTGAGTCGACAACAAAACACTTGTCATTTCCAGCAGCCATTGTACAGCAGTAAAACCAAACATGCTGGAACTCAGCTGTGGTTGCTAGGAAACAGGCAGGGCTTCGCTGTGGTTGCTAGGTAACGGGCAGTGCCTGCTAATTTGTGACGTTATATTCCGTAGTGTTTTTGAAAGGACTCATTTTCCAGACACCGAAAAACATCAACTTGCACAAAGATCCCACAAGTCTGAACCAGAAGCGATCTGCGCCACTGAACCGCCATCTTGGTAGGTAATTGCAGCCAAAGCACAGACAAACCAATAAAGATGGAATACTCAAAAACTGTAATTAAGTAGTTGTAATGTACTTCTGTTGTTTATAAGTCAGATATGAATGAAGTGAGAGCTACTTCTAAGTTTGTGGCTTGTTTATTGTTGTCATAGCAACTCCATAGCAACTGTTACGACAATTAGTTTCCGATACCTACCAAGATGGCTGTCCCAGAAGTGACGTCACATGAGAACTATGTATTGCCACAAAGGGACTGGATGTTTTTTAAAGTGTTTGTGCTGTTTTTAGGTGCAGCAGGAACCCAAATGGAAGTACAAAACCATGAAAAATATGAATTTTGCATAACGCGTTCCTTTAAATACTTATATTTTGGACAATCTGGACAACATTTGGCACCGTTTCATATAAACTTGGTAGTTTTGCTGTTACCTGGTAAAACTAACTGAAGCGTTGTCTGTCACGTCGCCTGAAAGCCATCTAGGGAGATGGAGACCATAGATAGAGCTGCTGTGACGGGACTGCGGCCTGGACCGGTGCCTGAGTGGAGCTGCTCCAACAACAGCATTGCTGGGATGGATGAGAGGTCAGCCAGAGCATGTGTGGTGGTTTAAAGAGTGAACCAGAACAGCCTCTTGTGTTTGGAAGACATTCCTGGGGTCCAGGTTGACGCGCTGCTCCGATGATGGAACAGTTTCCACGTGGTTTCCGGTTTGCAAACAGAAATAAGTATGATTTCCTGAGTATTTTCTCTTACCAGGAAATTCCTCCAAGACATCCCAGCGAATAAAAGGTGAATAATGCAGGATGTGATTCATGATAAAACTCCGAAAGATTGATGACTTTCTGTCTTATCTTACATCGTAACGCTGAGAGTTGAGCGTCTCCGTTTCATCGAACCGACCCCTCCTCCAGTCTCAGTCCAGAGGCAGGGCGGCTGATGACCTCATTTCTTCCACACTGGCCCTCCTCTTCTTCCTCGTCCTCTCTTTCCCTCCTAATGAGAACCGGATGG